TGAAGTCAGAAACTATCGACGGCTTTTTGTCTAGGCCTAATCAATGGACAAGAACCTGCCAATACGATAGAACGTGTTTCATAGAATTAAATAAGGGTCTATTCCAGTTAGGAGGGGCATTGCGGTGCACAGTCTGCTCTAATGCCAGTTTGGCTCAAGGAGTCCTTTAAAGTTACGAAGTGCTATCAGCTTTTTTCCTACGTTATTTCTTCTGGTTTTTGTATAATGTATGTGTTCTTGTGCTTTGTAACATAAACGTCAATGAAAAGTAATATTTACCTAGTGATCAGCTAGGACTAAGCCTAGGAAGGGGGAGGAAATCCCTCCCCGAGAAAGCGAAGATTGCTCACGAACCCGGGGTTTTCCCTCCCTTCTGAGGCTTAGTCCTAAACCTTTATACTAAGGAATATGCTATCCGTGGTTTCAAACTTGTTGAGCGCTCTAAACCGCATGCCCCCTAATTGGAATAGACCCTACAATAAACTTTCATTAACAAAGAAAAACCACTTACAGCTGCTCGCGTGTGCATGAAGAATTGTTGCCGGAAGATGGAATACCAGCGACGACATCGAGTGAATTGCCAATCCGCTATGCTTACAGTTTCATGAGTAGAAAACGGTGGTGCTCTTCAGACCGTAACCACCTGCAGATCAGTCGACAGCGAGAAAAAAAAACAGAAGAAGAAACGAGCCGAACAAACCCAACACAAATCCGTGTTGAGTTTTCACGTAAAGCGATAACGAGTATTAAAGGACGCAACGTTCGCAGTGGAGCGCGAAAATGTTTGATTGGTCAGAGGTGTGGAAAGATCCTGTGCTGGAATAACGACGAATCCAGATGGGCGAAGGTTACTGGTATAGTTACTTATAATCAGATGAGGGTCTCATCCAGTAAGGGGGCATGTGATGTGACAGTTCTTGCCGGCTACAGAAATTCCAATTTTTGCAAGGGAGGGAATCCCCGGGGTGCGTGAACCATTTCGCTTAACTTTTACACCCACCCCGGAGCTTCCCTCCCCTGAAAAAAGTGGATTTCTTCATGCAATATGAACTGTCGCACCACATGCCTCCCCCCTTACTGGATGAGACCCTCAGATCAAATTGACCCTCGTAAATGGCACGCAGTTCAGTTTATTCATGTGCATTCAGCACAGATTTTTCTTGGTTCCTTTTGTGCCTTTTTGGCTAATTCTATCCCATAGTTCCCTTTTGTGCCTTTTCGGTTAAATCCTATTCTGTTCGGCTCCTGTTCCTTGCCCTTCAGCTCATCACTTTTTTACCACCATTATGGGTGCGATCAGTGTATTATTGCTGGAAATGGCCGATTGGTACATTGTGTTCCACAAGGTCGAACCTGTCGCAATTGCGTACAAGGGCAGCGGTCAACCGAAAGGCTTGGTGATTCAGCGTTTTGTAGTGTTCTCTGGGCACTCTCGCATATGCACACTATTACAGCGTCTCTGCTTTCTTTCCTTCCTTCAAAAGGCTTAGTCCTAGAAAAGCAGAAAGTATGTGCTTTTCTGTCTGGACTCTCACGCGTTGGTTGACCACTGCCCGTAACCGCAATTGGCGGTTCAGTACACCTTTGAGATCATCTGGCGTAAATAGCAATCAAAATGCGCGTAGTATGGATTTCCTCAACAAATTCCTATGGCTGCTGCTGAGTCTGCAAATGCGGCATGTCCTGAAGAGATTGGATAAGTTTTGGCTAGTCACTGGGCGATTCTGTGCTCATTTCAGTTCGGCAAATGCACTCAAAAACCACATTCGAATGCAGTGGGTTTTCTGAGGGTCTGGGGGTACTCTTCATGAATCGGTCCAAGAGCTCTGTCGCTAATCGCCTTTGTAGGGATGACCACTCCCGTGTAAGTCGTACCAGCTCTGTAAGCCATCTTCACAGCTGGAGCTAGCCTAGCACGGATAGCACCTCTCAAGTTGCTCTTGCCAATCAAAGTATTTGATAATGTAGACTCAGTGGTCAGGGAACGGGTAAAACTGCCGAAACAGCTGTTGCTTGGGTAGAGGAGGTGCTGTTGTAAAAAACTGACTGGATTGTTTTACCTTGAGAGCAACAAGATAGTACGTGAGCTGTAAGCTGCGCTCTCCTGACTGGGGTTTGAGAAGAAAGCCCCCGAAATTTAACCACTTTCTATGTGTTGTTGACTCACTTCCACACATTTTTTTCACTTACATCACACCTCAAAAAACTATTTGCTCAACATGAGTAATTCGATTGCAGGAACTTGAGAAGATTATATTACTGAAGGCCAGCAGAACAATTCGGCAAACCTTCCGCTCAAGGCTCACATTACTCCTACCAAACACTCATTCGTTAGGAGTAATGTGAGCCCTTAAAGGCACTTATCACTATGGTTGGAGGGCGATTCGGTACGGTGACGTCATTGGTGGAGAGGACGTTACGGTGCGGTTGCGACCACACCTCCATCACGCTGAGGGAGCTACTCTACCAATGACATTCAATGACGTCATCAGAACCACCCCGCCCTCCAACAATCGTGATCACTCTTTGTCAAATCATTGTTCCTCTCCAGCGATCTTAGCAATCCCTGTATGGGTTTAGGTGGAAGAATCTCTGAATTTTGGGGGGAAGACAGACTGTTCGCGAAGTTCGCAGAGATCTCGTTCCCTCTGCTCTGAAATGCGCAACGATGCAAGAGCTTCGCAAAGACAGCTTAGACCGCTTCCAGAATCCTTCGTGTGCTGCTGTCTGACGCCTTCCCGTTTCTGTGCTCTCTCGCCTATCCTCTGTTCTCTATGCTCAGTCTCTCATTGTCAAGAAGAGGCGTGAGCAACTGTTCTTTTAGCTTTTCTGATCAGTAAACTTTATTTCAGAGATTCAAATAATAAGGAACAGCCTCCGGAACTAAGATTGATAATGAAAGATTGATTTTCGTCACTTTCCAAGGCTAGTCAATTCATTGGACTAGCCCCTCCGTCGAATAAGATTTCTGAGTGTGCAACCGCAGTACAGGGCTACTTTTGCATCGGAAAGGGCGCTAGAGGGTCAGGACTTACAGCCATGGATACCTGCAGCAACCATGCACGCGCTCCGTTGCAGTGTCTGTCATCTCGCTCCACACATTCGTCCTCTCTCCTTCGTCGTCTCTCTTTTCGGCGGGCCATCGTCTGCTCGCTAGACTTCGGCTCCTAGACACCTTACCGTTTACCGGACGGTTAGAGTGATGTTTCGCGTCTCTTTTCAATTTCCTTCTTTTCTCACTTTGACACAGGTCCAATACTTAACGTTTCGGGTTTTGAGTCCTTTTTTATCGGTTTCGCTACTGCGGGTCTCTCTTGAAAATACTTTGTAGGTAAGGTGTGCGTAAAGTGGCTGAAATTTTGATGAGTGATTGAAGAGGTGAAATTAGAGCGTGAGAGAGCGTGCGAGCGAAATAAAGCCCGACACTGTGTTTTTTAAAACAAATCATCACCCTTTGGTTTGAAACTTTAAAACACTGTGAGGCTCCACTTGAAATAAACAACCGAATATAAATCAAAAAAATGTGTAGTTACTAGCGGCTTCTGGTCCTAGTAATTTCAGTGCTTACAAGACACAATTTTCCAGCAAACTATGTACGCTAGGATAATCCTCCAACACTGAGCCTAGACTATGGAACCTGCGCGTGTTTTGTTTGTGTTCGACACCGAAGGCTTCCAAAAACCGCAGCATCCTTAACATGTGCTCACATGCGTGTTTCATGAACAAAGACAGAGATTCGGTAGGGAAACTTGGTTCAGGTCTGTGCAGGATAAAGGCTCCATCTTTCAAAGACATGTTAAATTCATTGACAGTTAACACAGAATTTATGAGATTCAATAAAATTCACGAGTTTATGCCGAAGATTTGCATAACCGGTTACACACCAAGCACAGATACTGGAGATCACTTTAATAGAATAGAAACGCCGGCCAAGACGGCTATGACATCATCAGTGATTAGATCTACTCATTCCAATCCCATAACAAATTACAGCAGTTCAGCACCTGGTTGTATCGGCAACAGTCCATTCTCTGGAAAACAATACTAAATATTATTAAACATTCCTTGGTCAACTAACAAATCAAAAAAAGGATGGGATATGAAAAGATAAAAGTATGCCAAAACGTACTCTAAATCGCGACATAACACCCACGTTCGACAGTTGTTCTGGGAGATCCGATTCCAAAGCTTCGTCTCTGGGGCTACCCTGAAAAGTGGACTGGAAGTCAATATTTTTCTGTTTGATACTGCGAGATTTCCACTGTAACTTTTTAAAGCAACAGTCCCAGTAGGGAGTTCGCTTCAACAGCTAGTGTGTGGAACGATGGCTAGCCCTATCAGAGCATAAATGAATGGGACTGCCTCCAATAAAAAAACCGGTTTGACAAGCGCTGGGAAGGGAGCTGAACGACTTCGTAGCGGGCGTGGTCGGAATCGACCGAAGGGCTGCACAACCACGCCCACTTCGGAGCTGTTCAGCTCCCTTTCTAGCGGCTTTCCAAGGTGAGTTTTTTGTTCAGTCACGATTCTTATGTTCTTGGCTAGGGCTAGCGCATCGTTCCACACCACTAGTGTTGAAGGTAAAAACGCTGCGGGATTGTTGCTTTAAAGAAACATTGAAAAAACTGCTACTTATCATCCTGGATTGCTGCGTATAATGTATGCGAAAACGCCGGCACCACAGTAGGAAAAATACCAAAAAAGGGGCCTACAAAACGTCTCCCATGATCACCCGAGGGTGATGTTTGCGCTCGAAAACGAAAACAGATGTTGGCTGGACCGCTAATGAAGCAAAGAAAACACGAGTTTCTCTATGGGTGGCAGACGACGCTATGACAGGAGAGCTCTGGGTACCGCGGCGAGAGAATCCGACTGCGGGGACGAGAAAGCATAGAAGAGCGCGAGACCAGACACCCAACGAAGTAGTGGTATTGCGCGTGCAACGGGAGCATTACCTGCTGTCCATTTGCGTCATGTTCACATCAGGCCAAAGAACAGCACAATGTTAGTTTTAAGATAGGGTTCTATCATTGCGACCGCGGATTGCCCACTTAAGGTTTTGGGGCCGGTTGCGCATCTCACTTTGTATGGCAGGTGGCATTGGGCGCGTTGGGGGTCTCACTCAGTGGTCCATTTTCTCTTTACGAACTTTTCCGTTTGGTTCAGTCTTTGTTCCCATTTTATTCCGTAAGCATGTGGATAGAAAAAAGGTAGCCAGCAGTAAAATACAATGCTACGGATCGCGAAAGGCTTGCTTTGAATGAAGTGAGGTGGCCATCTACCGGACGAGCCTGGTCAAATTCATACCCGCGGCAGATGGAAGAAGCTGCCGCGAATGACGTACGAACCGGGGTGACTCCCTGCATAGCGCTGGTTCCCGTAACCCGCTTGCCACGACACCACTTGGTCCCATTTTAATCAGCATATAAAGCATGGGACTTCTCCTCTCTATCTGCCTAGCGTTCTTCACTTCTCAAGTCTTCCCCCTTAATTTATCCGCAGTCAGGCGAGGGTTTATAAGCGGGAGGTAGCTGATCTTGGGAGGACCAGTTTAGCCGCAGATATGAAAAATATATCACACAACAAGGTATTCATTCAAATCGAAAAAATGCGGCCCATCACTGCAAAGGAACAAAGGGTTTATCCTAAATGAGGAGCATTTGCGATCAGATCGTTCGTGCCGGCCCCAAGTTTCCTTTTTGCAGGTAGTGGAAGTCGATTTTCCTGAACCATTTCGTTTTCACTTGGAGCTTCCCCATTTCTCACCCCCCCCCCGCTTCAAAAAATGAAATTACTGTTGACAACACGATCTGCTACACCTCATGCCCCTCCACTTATTGAAATGGACCCAAAAAACGTATCAATAAAAGCTTACGTCGTGCGTCTGAGATACGATGGCTAATAGTAGCAAAAGCAGATGAATGGCGGCTGCTTTCACCATGTTCCGTCGAGCGCTTCACTGACACAAGAATGACCACGATGAGCTTACAAAGAAAGCATTACGTGATGTCGATAATGAAAAATAATCACGTCGAGGCAATCGAGGTGGAAATAGTTGTTGTGCTGAGGCAAAACTACAGTCATTTCCTCATTAACATGACGTCTTAAAATAGTTCTTCTCGAAGGTACTCCTTCGCTCGAGAAAATTCAGGGAGAGGAAAAATTGTGCCCATGTGCAATGAAGAAAAGAAAAAAAAATAAGCTTTCGGCAAGAACAATTTCCTTCTCGGGTTGCGCCACGCATTCTTCTCTCCAGAATATAGCGACACTTTGAATGTATTTTGGCCTACACAGTGACTTGTGGGGATCAACCGGTGTACGAATGAGTGTTTTCATCCTCCCAAATATTCGGGTGCCAAAAATTACATCCGGACTCCAGATGCGGTGAAAAACTGTGGGTGGACTGGTTGCCGATCCAGCGATTCGATCCACAGGAAATGCGCACGTCCGCGTCCAAGAGTACGAGATGTGAGATCCATCCCGTGATTTCCGACCGATCCAATTCCCAACTGGGCTCGCGTCCTCGCCAAGTCACTCATCAGTTCAAAGTGGAGGAATGTTCGACGGCTATGGGAGTACCAAGAACGGCCCGCATCCCGCTGCCGTGCCCACCTCTTCGATTCCGCAGTCCTTCCTGCCCTAACCTACGCCTCAGAGACTTGGACTCTGCGCAGGCAGGACGAGCATGCGGTCAGCGTTATCCAACGCGCTGTCGAGAGGACGATGCTAGGAGTAACCCTATACACGCAAGTGCAGAGGGGAATCCGGAGTGCCGAACTACGCCAACGATCGAAGATCAGGGACGCTGCCGTTTTCGCCAAGGAATCGAAGATAAGGTGGGCCTGGATGCGCAGCCGATTCGGATGCCGTTGACCATGAGGATTACGACTGGATCCCTCGGCCTGGGAGAGGCGGCCCCAGTTGAAACAGCCTCGGGTAGAAGGACTCACGGGAGATTCCACCAGCAATCTGCTCACTTCGAGCGAAGAAAGAGAGGCATTGCCGTGAGAAGAAGCTAAGATCGACCCGGGACCAGGCGCTTACCTGGATCCCTCGGGACGTCAAACGAACACCTGGACGACCGCCGGCCCGATGGTCAGACTTCTTCACGAAAGCTCTGAACGAAAGGAATGAAGGACACCGTGTCCCTCGAGCGAGGAGGGTCCACTGGACAACTCTTGCACGCGACAGGGACGAATGGAGACGTTGCTGGCGCCCGCTCGAGCAATTCGATGATCAACGGGACGACAGGTGATACAGGTGATACAGGTCCCAGCTAGTGGCTGCTCGCCAGAGAGAGTTGTATTGTCGGTCAATGGGGTATAGATTGTCCCGCAGGGGCAAGAGTTGACTCATTAGAAAATAAGAATTTCGATGAAAAAAACGTCAGAAGTCTTTTGGTAACTCTCGGACAAAATATGGACGGGAAAGAACAGGCATTCACAACTATATTCCGCCATTATTGACCTCCGATTCTTCGGCTAATTTTGTTGATTTTCCGGTATGAGGGAGGGCCTCTAGCAAGAAGTGCAATGTAGATCTAACACGCGGAGGGGGGTGAAGGGAAAGGGAGGAGGGGAGTCGTACAGCCTGACCTCCCACCTTTCTGAGTGAAAGCGACTGCTGATTTTTATACCCACCACAGAGCTACCCTCACCTTTAGGTTCTATTCGAATTCCGGTTACATTGCGTCAAATTCAATGAAATTTCATGGGAACACACCGCGAAGAAAGTGTTCTTTAGCCAGCGATGAGAACGGCGAACCTATAGGTACTGCACGTTTTCTAAAGCAGCTAAACCAGCCTACATTCAGTAGAAGGCTCATTTATAAGATGATGACGCAAGAGGAGATTTATGACAATAACGATAAATAACACCTTAATAACACTGACGAGGATTGCCATCAATAAAAATTCGGACGAATTTAAAGTTCACATTCAAGTGGTTCTGTGGCTAAAGACGTCAAATCGCACTCATACGATCTGTAGACTCGGAAATCACCCAAGCAGAAGAAGTTCTGAAAGTCTATGGTCAGGAGCAATCGGGAAGATTTGCAAAATTAGCTACTTCTCTCTTTACCAAAAATCAGAAACGCAGCGAGTACGGACCACACACCACAAGTGACGACGGCCTCCATGAATTATAAATCTGGCAAAATGATCTGTAGTGGTAGCCACTTGGTGATAGTTGCAATTAGTGACAAGTGATAGTACAACTGCAACAGGCTAATCATTTCATTGGCAGAAAACATTAACATTTTGTGGAGGCCGTCGTCACTTGTGGTGTGTGGTCTGCACCCGACACGTTTCTGGTTTTTGAAACAGAGGGTATTTATTGCTGTTTTTACACCGATGAGCCAACGTGAATCTCTAATTTACTGGTAAAACTGACTGTTACTATTGTGCGGAAAAGAGATCAATAATAAGGAACCGCAGCAAATTGCCACAAGGCTAATTTTGGAAAGAAATAAATTAAAACGAGTGAATATGGATAAGCGTGAAATTCAGGGAAAAAAGCAGAATATTTTGGTCAGAAGACTAGTTTTCCTTCAAGTGGACGAGAAGTATAGAGAAGAAAACTGTTGAACACCAAGTTCTCATGACCGGTTAAAGTAATCGTTCACGGAAAAACCTCGCTTCCATCTTACCAGAAATTGATACCTTAGGCCCCTTGCTTTATGAAGATAGCAAAAAGAACGAAAAATAAGCGTTGGTTTCAGATATTAATCCAAACATCCAATGAGGCTATGAGAATTTTGAATTCCCGCCGTAAAACTGTCACTGCTGTTGGCGATTTTTCCGTTGACGATTTCTTTAAGTTCCAAGAGCGAGCTGAGAGCACTGTTGTCAAAATATTTGGGGGTAGTCGTAACAGTAACAGCCACATGGAACAATTGTTCGTAGCTGGAAGTGAATGATAAGATTTATGTAGTTGGTGCAGTGGTAAAAAAAAAGCCAAGGAAATGGTCCAAAACACGAGAAATGGGACCCATTTTTCCCGTTGATTTACGCGCTGGACGCGATTCCGCGTCTGACAACATAATCACTAAGAACAACTTCCTTCTTTCCCTTCACCCCACTCCGTAGCGAACAACCCCTCACCATCAAGCAGTCATAGACTGAGTTCACCAACTGGAGGCGGGGGCTGCCGCGGAAGTGGCCGTCACCAAGGGTAAGGCCTTGCTAGCTCTCTACTGGTGCTCCCTCGGCTGCAAAAGCACCAACTCTCATTTCCCTGAAGGCCGAACCTCCCTTTACAGGGTGTTTACTTTTTGTTCTTTAACATTTAAATTCACTGCACCACCTGCCTTTAAG